AACAGCAACATATAAACTGAGCTAGGTGTTTTAAACTGATCAGGGGACTTCAGCTTTCCTCATTTCCTGTCCCCACCCCCATATGATAAGTCAGGCTTCATTTGCATATGCTCTTCCCTTAGTTTGTAAAGCTTCTTCTCTGTATCTCTTGGTGGAGTTCTCTCTAACCTTTGAGGTGAATGACAAGTAGCCAAAAAAAAAAAAAAAAAAAAGGCATAAACAAAAACTTAAAATATGTCCCCATCACTACAGGACTTGATTTATCAGCAGTTCATGCTAAAACCTACGCAACAAAATTTTTTCCTCACCAATTCCAGGCTGCTTGTCAATATTCCTTCCCTCCCACCAAAAACATTCATAGAACTCATTGTCACCACAGAACTCAGGAATCATCTTTGACATCTCTCACTTCATGCCACCTCTTTTTCTCCACAAACATATAATTCATCATTAAGAGCTGTTAAATTTACCACATAAAGATCTTTCAAATACGTCTCTTTCTATTTCTACCACCTCCTTTCTTTTCCAAGTTCCATCATCTCTTGCCTGGACAACTCCAAAAGCCACCCTAAATGGTTTCCCATCTATTCTTTGACTCCTGGAATGTCTTTTCCACAAGGAAACCAAACGGTCTTTGTTAAGCATGGCCTGCCAGACCCTCAAGCTCTTAACGGCACCTTCTTTTAGGTCTCTGAGATCAGTAGGCTTGGGCTTCTCTGGTAAAACTGTGGTCTTTCCTACTATAAGAACACTGCACGTGTTATTCCCATTGCCTGGAAAGTTCTCGCCAAATAAATCCTATCCTTCGAATCTCAGTTCAAAGTTCATTTCCTCATAGAAACCTTCCCTGATCCCGACTAGCTATCTCTCATACCACCACATACATAATCTTTCTTCACAGCACTTAACACAAATTGAATTTTATGTGTGTGGTCAGTACATGGATTAATGGCTGCATCTGCTCTTGCTGTGAAGTCCATGAGAGCACTGAATTGAATTCTCTGCAGGAAGCAAAGTGCCTGCACAGAGTAAGTGCTCCAATATCTGTTGAATATGCAAATATCAAGTCTACAGTAAAGTAACCAATATGATCTCTGTAACTCACAATTTCTCCAATTCAGCATTTTACTACTAATCTTGATGAGTATCAACATCCAAATCTGTTTGTGTAACAGTTTTTCATTTACCTCTTAAAACTATATTTAGAAGTTGGCTGTCCTAAAATTACAGCAGTAGATTCTCAAATTAACAAAACTTTGAAAATCCTGCCATATTCTACTTATGTTTTGAAATCTCAATTTCATTTAATTTACTATTCTCAGCAATTCAATTGTCAAATGTTCAAGTAAATATTAACTGTAATGGGTTGTAGCCAATAATCTCTTTAAACTGCAACTAATTCAATGCTATAGATTTGATTACATGTTAAATCACAGCTACTTGTGAGGCTGAGGCAGGAGAATCGCTTGAGCCCGGGAGGCAGAGGTTGCAGTGAGCTGAAATCCAACCATTGCACTCCAGCCTGGGCGATAGAGCAACACTCTGTCTCAAAAACAACGGAATTTTAAGCTCTGATTAGAGAACTTCCTTTTTCTATGTTAAATGTTAAACATCCAAATAGGCAGAATAAATTTTTTCCAAGTATGAAGCCAATATAATCAAAAGTATCTAATTATATTGCTCAATCGATATAATAAACCAAAGACTCAGATACACAAGTAATACTATGCCAGTCTGATAGGTTCTTGAGATGGTTACATCTTTAGCATATTTAGTTCCTGGCATATAGCAGGTATTACACACAGCCTGGGCAACATGGCAAGACCAGGTCTCTACAAAAAATACGAAAATTAGCCGGGCGTAGTGGTGCGCGTCTACAGTCCCAGCTACTTGGGAGGCTGTGGTGGGAGGATCATCAGAGCTCAGGAAGTCAAGGCTCTGTGATCATGCCACTGCACTCCAGCCTGGGTGACACAGAAAGATTCTGTCTCGGAAAAAAAAAAAAAAAAGGAAGAAAGAAAGGAAAAAAAATGAGAATAGGTAAGTTACTCTACAAGCTTGATCTCTCAGCACTGTGTTGCTATTTTGTTGACTAACAATTGCAAAAGTGGTACAATTACCAGGTGAGATATTGAGGTATAGTTATTTTTGATAAAGTACTCATGATCAATATGAGGGGAAAAAGTCAGTTGAAATGAAGGTAAAATAGTTCTCTTTTGACTATTAGCAGTGGTAATTAATGAAAAACTGCATTTTATAATGCTGACTTCAAATGGAATTTTAAAATTCTCACGTTTATCCTCAAACGTATTAGCTTCCTGTCCTTTCTCAAACAGACTTGCAAATTAATGTCAAAAGATTCTAGCAAAACCAGAAACCCAATATTCACTTTACCACAAACAGATTAATCTATGGGGGGAAAAGCAACAAACAACAAGCTAAGGTGATATGTATTTGGTGGGTCATATTAATAAAGTTATTTCCCATCTACAGATTTAAAAAAATGATCTCTGGTGGATAGTGTCAGAAAAATAAAAATAAAAATAATTTTTAAAATGGAAGTATTTTTGTTATATAACATGCTGAGGGTGACTGTAAAAGAAAATTATTAGGCTTTTGGGACAGGTCTGTACTTAAAAACAAAGAAAAACAAAGTATCAAAAGTTCAAGAGAAATACTTACTACTTCTTTTTCTTTAAGTTTAATTTGAAGGACTGAATGCCCTTCCCTACGTTTGTTTACACATTTTGAAAACCTTGCTATGAATAGCCCTGGTGGAAGATACACCTGGTAAATCATTGTGACAAGTGTTCCAAAACAAGCAAATGTACAAGTCATATTTTGGAAAAGCAAAAATGCAACCAAGAGATAAAGTAGGATACAGAAAAATTATATAATTTGAAAACTGCAGTTTTTAAACTACTTAAATCTGTAAGTATCGCAACCCTTAACAATCTTTAGGTTGGTAAAATGATTACTACCTTCTAATTTAAAAATTAAGGAAAAAAGTTAATGGTTAAACCATCCTCCCATTTGCAGTATTACATGAAAGATGATATATTCCAGGCACATAGTACACTGTACAGGGAAGTTTTTTGCTTCTTTTTTTGAGACGGAGTTTCCCTCTTGTTGCCCAGGCTGGAGTGCAATGTCGCGATCTTGGCTCACTGCAACCTCCGCTTCCCGGGTTCTAGCAATTCTCCTGCCTCAGCCTCCCAAGTGGCTGGGATTACAGGCATGCGCCACCACGCCAGGCTAATTTTTATATTTTCAGTAGAGACGGGGTTTCTCCATGTTGGTCAGGCTGGTCTCGAACGCCGGTGGTCTCGAACTCCCGACCTCAAGTGATCCGCCAGCTTCGGCCTCCTAAAGTGCTGGGATTACAGGCATGAGCCAGAGCGCCAGGCCTTGTTTGTTTTTACTCAGGAGAAATTTGCAATGTTTTTAGTTTTTACTCCAAAAATAAAGTCTCACCATCTTATTTTCTAACTCAAACATCACCTTAAACTGATTTTTAAAAATTATTTTAAAGATTTGCTTGGTCTTCAGTGAGTAAGCAAAATGCTAGTTGGAGAAGTAGAAAATCTAAACTTTAATATACTAATACATGAAGTTCTTAAAAGAAGGGTTTAAGTGAATGATGGCCAACACCAGCATTCCAATGTATCACGACTGTGATGATTTACTAATCTGGCTATCCTGGCATGGTCAGTTTATCCTGAGAAAATGTCATCTTTGGGGGTGTAAGATTCTCATTTCTATAATTTTACAGTTTTGGTGTCTTTTTCCGAATCTTTGGAGCTTTTCAATCCCCACCCGCAACCTCACTTACCGTATAAAATGCATCATTGCCCTGTTCCTAGCGATTAGGTTAAAAACAAAATCATTTAAAGAACCCTGTCGAAAACTGCCGAGATCTCTTCTGGGAATACACAAGACAACTGAAAGGTAGAACGAGATGCCAGAGCAGGCAACTCCTGGGAGGCAGGTGAGGCATGAATGTGAGCGAACTGTCAAAGTTTAGAAGAACAACGTGCTCCTTTCCTGACACTTTGGAAATGGCAAACAGAACCAGCATCCCCAGACCTCCCCTCCACGCCCTCCAGCTGTCAGACGCCCCATTCGCAAACTGAACAGTCCCCCCAGCAAGTCCTGGAGAAAAACGGCGTCTGTCACTCCCGGATCCTCTCCAACGACCCGAATTAACCTTCACCTAGCCAGGCAGCGAAGCCGCCCAACATAACCCCGGAAAAGAAGGCAGGAAAAGTGAACTGAGTGACAAATGCTTGGCGCTCCTCCGCTGACGCGGCGCCTACTCATCCCCATCTCCGCAGGCAGTCGGGGTGGCTATGGCGTGACGCCGCCGACAGGTCCTCCGTACTAACAGGTGTCCCCCCCCGTCTTCGCCTTTCAGCGTTTAACCTTCTCGCGCCCTCTTTCCCCACTCCCACTGTTCTAGGAGGCAAAAATCAAGTGAGCAGTTGTACCTGGAAAAGGAGGGCGGCCTGACCGCTCTAAAAGGGCCAGCGAGAAGGCTGGCTGTGGAAGGGCGCCCGCACCATTCTGCGAGGCCAGCGAAGGAAGATGCAGCCAGCTAGGCCGCGAAGCCGGGGCCTCGCGTACCCAGCGGCGCCGAGCACAGGCGCGGCGGGGTGGCCGGGGCCCACTGCACATACTCACCAAATCTGGAACTTGAGCAGCGGCCCCGTGGCGTACTGCATCTTTAATCTCTTGCTGGGCACGCCGCCCAGATTGGCCGAGGCCTCGCTCCGGACCATCGCCGACGCCACCACTAGGAGAAGCAGCAGAAGCCTCATCTTAATTGAGCCAGCCGCTTCGGCCGCCCTCAGACTAAGACTGCAGCCAGCCCAAAGCCCAGGCGCGAGCTGCTCCCCACTGCGCAGGCGCGATCAGCCAAGGTCGGGGGAGGGGAGCAGTAATGCGCCTGCGCGGCCCGGCGCCTGCGCACACTCCTGGAGTGAAGAGCCGACCTGTTTCACTGTCCTGACTCACCGCCATCTTGGTGGTGTGCGAGACTCTGGGACGGCATGAGAAAGGAAGAGAGGGAGCAAAGGAGCTGGTGGGGTGTCACAGGGCCCATGTATGAGGCAGATTTGAGTTCTATATCCAGTTTTGCAATTTATCCATTTATCTGCCTGAGACACTTGGGAACACCTACTTGACAGCCCTGATTCAAGTGTTGGCGGATAGGAGGGAGGAGACTCCTGACCCTCAGAATGGTAATGCTGAAATTTTTAAGAGTCCCCTGTTTATGGCCTTTTCTTTGATCTTACAATATTGCTTTCTCCTAAAAGAATATTAAACATAAGTTTTAAGAAACCTTTGAACAATTCCAAACGTATATTATACAAAAATAGAGTAACTACCTTACCAAGCTTTAACAGTTACTAACATTTTGACGTTCTTGATTTGTCTATATCTCTAAACACTTCTTCCCTTCCTGGGCATATTTGGAAGCAAATCTCAGACGTCATATCATTTCATCTCTCTATATATATTTAAACACGGTCTCACTGTCACCCAGGCTGAAGTGCAGTGGCATGGTGATAGCTCACTGCAGCCTCACACCCCTGGGCTCAAGCAATCCTGCCTCAGCTTCCCAAGTGGTTAGGAATACAGGCACAGGCAACTATGCCTGGCTTACAATTATTTAAGCACATATCTCTATAAAAGAACTATTATTTGGAAAAAAAATGACCACAGTATCATTATCTCACCTTTAAAAAATAGTAATTGCTTAGTATTAGTGTTCAAATGTCTCAATAACTACTTACTTTCCTACTGTTCATTTGTTAAAATAAGAATCAAAATTAAATTTATACATTGTCATTGGTTGATGTGTCTTTTAGGACAAGTCAAAAACTTTTAAGACCAGGAACACGCCAGTAATTGAACAATTTTGTTTATTATTAATTGCAGCAAGAGGGATGCTATGGTTTGAATATGTCCCCCGAAAAGCATGTGTTGGAAATTTAATGCCCAATGTAACAGTGTTGGGAGATGGGGCCTATGGGAGGGGTCCACCCTCACGAATGGATTAATGCCATTTATGAAAGGGCTTGAATGGATTAATGCCAATTATGAAAGGGCTTAAGGCTTCGATTTCTGTTTTTTGCTCTTTCACTTTTGCACTCTCCTGCACATTTACCTTCCTCCATTGGACGACAGAACACAAAGCCCCCATAAGATGTGGAGCCCTTGATCTTGGAATTTTCAGCCTCCAGAACTATAAGAAATAAATCTATGTCTTTATTAATTACCCAGTCTCAGTTATTCTGTTATCGCAGCCCAAGATGGACTAAGACAGGGGAACGCACACCACGGGAAACCATGAGAAGACTCAATAAGGAGGTGTTAGGATCTGAGGCTTGATTGGATGATTTGGAAAATGAAGCTGGGGTGCTGAGTGATTCTATTATCAGAGGTTTTCAATCCAGAGTGACTTCATCTTGAGTAGGGACTAAGTAAAATGAGGCAGATACCTGCTGGGCTGCATTGCCAGGAGGTTAGGCATTCTTAGTCACAGGATGAGATAGGAGGTCAGCACAAGATTCAGGTCACAAAGACCCAGCTGATAAAACAAGATACAGTAAAGAAGCCAAAACCAAGATAGCACAAAAGTGACCTCTGGTCGTCCTCACTGCTCATTATATGCTAATTATAATATATTTGCATGCTATCTCCTTTACTGCTTATTATATGCTAATTTAACACACTAGCATGCTAAAGGACACCCCCATCAGCGCAGTGAATGTTTACAAATGCCATGGCAACATCTGGAAACTACCCTATATGGTTGAAAAGGAGTCTTGCCCTTTTCCCCAGAAAACTCATGAATAATTCACCCCTTGTTTAGCATATAATCAAGAAATAACCATAAAAATAGCCAATCAGCAGCCCTCAGGGCTGCTCTGTATATGCAGTAGCCATACTTGTATTCCTTTACTTTCTTAATAAACTTGCTTTCACTTTACTCCATAGACTTGCCCCCAATCCTTTCTTCAGTGAGATCCAAAAACTGTCTCTTGGGGTCTGGATCAGAACCCCTTTCCAGTAAAAATAGATTTTTTTTTTTTTTTTTTTTTTTGAGACATAGTCTCACTCTGTCTGCCTAGGAGACCAGCCTGGGCAACATGATGAAACCTTGCCTCTACAAAAAATTTGAAAATTAGCTGGGTATGGTGGCACACACCTATAGTCCCAGTTACTCAGGAGACTGAGGTGGGAGGATCACCTGAGCCAGGAAGGTCGAGGCTGCAGTGAACCCTGATGGCTCCACTGCACTTCAGCCTGAGTGACAGAGTGAGACCTCGTCTCAAAAAAATAAGATAATGGGTGATACAGCTAGCCATAAAATGTCTTTAAACAATTGCCCCCAGGCATCAGGGGTGGTGTGACTGAAGTTCCATACTCCTGTTTCCCTGGACCTGATAAATTTTGCATACCTTGCCAGGCACAGTGGCTCATGCCTGTAATCCCAGCACTTTGGGAGGCCGAGATGGGCAGATCACAAGGTCAGGAAATTGAGACCATCCTGGCTAACAGGGTGAAACCCTATCTCTACTAAAAATACAAAAAATTAGCCGGGCGTGGTGGCGGGCACCTATAGTCCCAGCTGCTCGGGAGGCTGAGGCAGGAGAATGGCATGAACCCAGGAGGCAAAGCTTGCAGTGAGCCGAGATTGTGCCATGGCACTCCAACCTGGGTGACAGAGCAAGACTCTGTCTCTAAAAAAAAAAAAAAAAAATTTGTATACCTTATACAGCTCAGGCTACTCAGGTATTTTCCTTTCCTCGGGTCTAATTGTTAAAGCAGCAGCAGTCCCTCTTCGTGACCAAGAAAAGGAGTGTTTGGTGTTTTGTGGGTAGCACAGTGACCTTTTTTTGGTCTGAGCTTAACAAAATTAAATATCTTTTTTTTTTCCTTTTGCAATTTCTTTTATCTATATATCTCCCAACCTGCCCTGCCTCTTTGTCTCTTTTTCCCTTGTGACTTATTTGCTGAAGAAACCATGTGTTTGTGGGTTTTGCTGCTGATTACAAACTCATATACCGTCCTTTTTTTTTTTTTTTTTTTTTTTTTTTTGAGACAGGGTCTCGCTCTGTTGCCCAGGCTAGAGTGCAGTGGCGCCATCTTGGCTCACTGCAACCTCTACCACCTGGGCTCAAGGGATTCTCCCACCTTAGCCACTCAAGTAGCTGGGACCACCACGACCTGCCTTTTTTTTTTTTTTTTTTAAATAAAGATGGAGTCTTGCTATGTTGCTCAGGCTGTTCTCAAATTCTTGGCCTCAAGTGATCCTCCCACCTTGGCCTCCCAAAGTTCTAGGAATACAGGCATGAGCCACCGTGTCCTGCCATGGTGTACATTAATATATATCTCTGTCCTGTGTATTCTCTGTAAATTAGTAGTTACATCTAGAGGACTAGACACTTTTAAGTTTAATCGTTTTAGCAAGACTATAAAGAAGGTGTTTTATCTTCATAATTTATTTTTAAAATTAGACATAAGTACAAGAACAGACACAGAACGATTATTGCCATTTAACATAACCTGTAAATTGGTACCAACATGATTATAAACAAAAAGCAAAACTCTGGCACTAAGATGGCACGGTAGTATTGATACTGGTGAGCTAGGGAAGATCTCGAAACACTGGTGGGATCCTTACCCTGGTTGTTGTCCAGGCTCTTGATACCATCTCGGGAAGGAATTCAACAAGTCAGAAAATAGTGAAAGTGGTTGGGAGTGGTGGCTCATGCCTGTAAACCCAGCACTTTGGGAGGCTGAGTGTGTCCATTTCAGTATCAAAAGTAAGAAATAAGATACCCCATACAAAAATTGATTAGCAAGCTCAATTATCTTGTGGTGGCTTCTTCATAATAAAAATATAATAATAATAATAATAAAGTGAATACAGGTTTTTCTCAGCATCTATTCCTTCTTCTGGTAATGGTACCTCAGTTTCTCTTCAGGGGACCAGCAAGACCCCATTGCACACAGTCTTGGGACTACCACTTGAGGTACTCAAAACATTCCCACCGGAGGTGTACCTGTGTCCAAAGCCAAAAGGTATTGAAGCTGATTAATTCTAATAGAAGAACCCTAACGAAAGTTCTAGACCCCAAACTACTCTGGGTATTATATTCTCCAGGGCCTCATTCTTCATCTTTTCCTTTGACTCTATGAGCTACCACACATTTTGTTTGCAAACCAAGAACCCTAGCTTAGAGCTCTGTATCATCTTGGTTGATTCCTGAGAGGAGAACAGGGAACAGAGTGGCTCGGGAACAAAATCGGGAGAGAAGTTATTCTTATTGCATAAGTAACTTTTGCATTTTAAAATTTTGTGCTGTTGTCATGTAATACTTATTCAAAAAGTAAATCAATGTTTTAGAATTCAATGAAAAATAAAGTCCTTAACAGAGTGTTAAAAAATTGAATTATGAAACAGTAAAGTGTTATCACTTTATTATTTGTGTATTTTTTAAAGTACATAAAAAGGAAGACATGGATCAAAATGTTTTGCTTGGTTATATTTCCTGTTGAACATATGTTATTTTGGTAATAAGGAAAAAAAGATAGCTGAGCATGTCGGCACGCACCTGTGGTCCCAGCTACTTGGGAGGCTGAGGTGGCAGAATTGCTTGAGCCCAGGTGTTTGAGGCCACAGTGAGCCATGACTGTACCACTGCACTCAAGCCTGGGTGACAGAGCAAGACCCCATCTTAAAAAAAAATACCAAATAGGTCAGGCGCAGTAGCTCATGCCTGTAATCGCAGCACTTTGGGATACTGCAGAGGGGAGGATCACTTGAACCCAGGAGTTCAAGGCCAGCTTGGGCAACATGATGAAACCCTGTCTGTACAAAAAATACAAAAATTAGCCAGGCATGGTGGTGCACACCTGTAGTCTCAGCTACTGAGGAGGTTGAGGCAAGAGGATCGTTTGAGTCAGGGAGTTCGAAGCCACAATGAGCCATGATCACACCACTGCACTCTAGCCTGGGTTACAGTACAAGACCTTGTCTTAAAAAAAGAAAAGAAAAAAAAAAAAAGGCCAGGCTCGGTGGCTCATGCTTGCAATCCCAGCACTTTGGGAGGTCGAGACGGGCGGATCACGAGGGCGGATCACGAGGTCAGGAGATCGAGACCACCCTGGCTAACATGGTGAAACCCCGTCTCTACTAAAAATACAAAAATTAGCCGGGCGAGGTGGC